AAATAATAATCTTACTGGATAGAGTATTCTTGGTTCGAGGTCCTGCTTCATTGCATTAAATAAATCACACCAGTCCCTTCTGGCCTGTAAGGTTTCTGTTGAGAAGTCTGATGATAACCTCATGGATTTTCCTTTGTATGTGATCTTTTTTCTCTCTCTGACTGCTTTTAATACTCTGTCCTTACCCTTGATCTTTGCCATTTGAATATTATATGTCTTGGTGTTGTCTTCCTTGGGTCCCAGATTGGGGAAGTTTTCAGCAATTACCTCCCTAAAGACACTTTCTATCCCTTTTTCTCTCTCTTCTTCTTCTGGTACCCCTATAAGGTGAATATAGTTCCATTTGGATTGGTCACACAGTTCTCTCAATATTCTTTCATTCCCAGATATCCTTTTTTCTCTCTGTTCCTCAGCTTCTTTGTCTTCCTCTTCTCTAATTTCTATTCCATTTACTGTCACTTCTACTACATCTAATCTGCTTTTAAATCCCACTGCGAGCCAGTGCGACCAGGCCAGGAGGAAAGTGCAGCAGGCTGTGTATCACAGTGTGGGGCCTCGGAGCTGAGTTGCCTGCCAGGGGGATGCAGTACCTGAAACTCCTGAAAGTTCCCAACCTGCTGGGCAGAGTGCACCAGATAATTTTGTCCACCTGTCCTTTCTCCTGAGCAGCAAGCTCTGCAATCCTTGCCCCTTTAGCAGGCCTCTCACTGTTAGGAAGTCTCTCAGACTGCTTGCCTTTCTTTTGTCCCAGAGCAGCTGGATATGGGTCCCTGTTTTCCACAAACAGCTGGAATCTCAGTCTCTCCATGTATTCTGTCAGTCTTAGCTTTCTAACTGCACTAATCTCCAGAGTGCCATGCAATGTAGGTTCGTGCTTCCAAAGCAGATCTCCAGTGGTGGCTGTCCAGCAGTCCTGGGCTTCCACCCACTCCTTGCTCCATTTCTCTTCCTCCTGCAGGTGAGTTGGAGTCGGGGATGGGCTTGGGTCCTGCCAGATGAAGGCTTTGCTGCATTGCCCTGTTCTGTGAGGTCTGCTCTTTTCTTCAGGGGTATGCAGTCTGCCAGTCTTCTTTCCTGTTTCTCTTTTAGGAATAGTTGTATTAAGTTTATTTTTGTATTATATGTGGTTTTGGGAGGAGTTCTCTGTCTCACCACTCATGCCACCATCTTTATTCCCTTCAGCAAGGGTTTATTAGTAATAGTCTCACACCAGTGAATTTGATAACTTAGATGAAAGGCAAATCCACTGAACAAGCAGGAGCATTCCCCAAATATAATCGATAATAAATATAACTATGAATTGAAATGCTATATATGTCTCCAAGGACAAAGAGAAGAGTAGAAGGCACTTTGATAGAAATGGAGGGAAGACCAGTACTTGTCAGACAGGCTGGAGGCAGAGGAGCTGGACTTTCTCTGCAGGCTCCATGGCCAGGCCAGGAGCAGGGCTGGGAGGCCAGAAGGTCACATACCTCAAGGCAGAAGAGGTCTTGACCCTGCCATTCTGCCCCCAGGAATGTGGCCAATAAGCAGAATCGTACAAACATCAGTGGATTTCAGCAAGAGATAATTCTGTGGAGTGATCTTCATTACACTTCATTATTAAGTCAGTTTTCCAGTGGACGTTTTATTCACCATTCATTGGTGTGTCAAACCTGCCTTTTGTCAGGAAAATTTTATTTTCTCATTAATTGTTAGTCAACATTACATTTGGTTGCATACAGTGGTGGCCTCCAGCTTTGTTCTGAGCACATTAATGGACTTTGGGTATTTATTGTGCATTAGGTAAAAAGTGGACCGTATACTTAATTTTTAGCTGATCCATGGGAAAATCATGGGTAGTTTCAGGAGGCCACACCCAGAACACCCAGAGTCAGGGAAGAGGGGTCATGTGGCAGGGTGGATGCCCCAGAGTGAAACAAATTGGCTGGAACTTCCTGCTCACCATCCTCAGCCTCCTTGTAACCCAGGACAGCAATCTCAGGTCCCCACCATGCAGATTGCAGATTGCAGATTGCCAGTCAAGTGCACAGGCCCCACCCTCCCCATGTGTCACAGTCCATTGTGGGCTCCGCCCCCCCACCCCTCATTGTCAATATTTGAGTAGATAGCACTTGGTCACAGTTGTAGCCCACTGCCTCTCCTGTCTCATGCACAGCCTCCCCCACCCTGCTGAGGTGGACCTGCTGGGCTCCTCCAGCACCCGGTTCTCCAAGATGGTCCTGTCCTCCTGCTCCCCATGTGGGCTATGCACACAGGTACCCTGCTCACTGCAGGCCCTGCTGGGGCCCCTCCCAGCAAGCACATTGGTGAAGTAGATGCAGCTGTCTCTGAGATCATGCATCCAGATGCAGTAGTGAGTGTCCTCACGGAGGTGTACCCCTGGCTGGCAGCCCCTCATGGCTGTCTCTCAGGGGCATCTCTGAGCCTACCTGCAGAGGTGGGCATGGGAATTGCCATTGGGGCCTGCACAGGGCTCTGGGCTCTGGGTGTCCTCTTTGTCATCTGCTTCCCTACAAGCAAAAGTAGGTGAGCATTCCCCAATGGGCCATGTAGGCCAATGTGGACCACAGTGCAAGCCCCAGCCTTGCCTGACCCGTCAGGGAGGATCAGGGAGGCAAGCCTATAGGCTCAACTCCATCGAGGCCTCTCAGAGCTTGTCAGCCTGCTGAAGCTTTGGCTTCACCGCCCCCAGGCACTCAGAGTCCTGGGCCACCATACCAGTATAACTGCAAAGCCCCACCAGGCTCACATGAGCTCTATGTGTGCACCCCAGGCTCATGCGGCTCCACCTATCTTTGGTCCTGGAAGTCAGTGGCAATGCAGCCGTGGCGGACACTTTATGGTATGTCCAGGGAGGGCAGAGCGCTTCCTCCAGGGGCAGCAGCGGCTGTGGGGGCTGACGCACATTGTGACTTGGATCTGTGTGTTCCACCTGGGGCTGACTGAGCCTGGTGTGGATCTGGCACCTGTTCCAAGGTACCTGGCTGTGTAGGGGAGGCCATTTGAGGAAGGATCCTTGGCTGAACACTCAGCCCAAAGCCAGTTCAGTGTGGGGTGGGGGTAGAGAAGGGGAGGTGGGCAGGCCTGTGGGCAGCATACAAACTGGGATATAGGGAAGGGGACAGACTCAGGCCTTGCTGGGGACCCAGAGTAGAGCTAGGCCTGGGGTCTCCAGGGCTTGACCCCAGCCAGAGGACACAGTGGACCGACAGGCCTCGCTCACATTTCTGTCTGCTGTCCCCTTTGCTGTAGTGACCACCATCAGCACCGTGCTCTGATCAAGGGACAAGGTACTGGGGTGGGGCTGGGGCATCCCTACCATCAGGCCCCTTGATCCCTTTGACCACTGCTCAGCATCTGGCTGGCCCTGTGGGTTTCAGGCTTCTGTCCAGGGCTGAGCTCTAAGGACAGGGTCTCTGGCATCACCTTAACCCACCAACTCCAGCTGGTCATGGCAGGAGGAAGGGCCATGGGCACTGGTCATGTGCTGGCTTCAGGCTGCCATGGAGTGGGATTCAATAAAGTTGGTCAGCACTGCCCCTTGCCTCAGGGCCAAGGTCAGGGATGGGGAAAGGACTCAGCAAGAGGCAGTGTACATCGTGGGAAGAGCCCACCAAGGTCCAAGTCACAGCCACGGTGCTTCCAAGAGTCGTTGGACTGGTCACTGTGCACCTCCATTCGTGAACTGGAGCGGAGTTGCTCACCCCAGGGTCCGTCACGCAGCCCGACCCCACTGGCTAATTCTGAGGAGGAGGGCTCACCCCAAGTCTCAGGAGCTGAGGAGGGAGGGCCTCCAAAGTAGGAGAGACAGCCAGGGTTGGGGGGACACTCGAGAAGCCTGGGGGAGCTGCGTGAACTGAAGAGTGGGGTGTATGGAGCCCCAGGGACAGGCCAGACCGGCAGCTCTGCGGCAGCCGGTGGGTGGACGCAGGCCCCCAGCGGAGCGCGCCGGCTGCGGGCGGGGCGTTGGCAGAGAGACGGCGGTGGGGCGGAGCCGCGGCCTTGGCAGAGGCTGAGCAGACTGCTGGTGCCCCTTCCTCCCAGGGCCTTCCCAGCTCAGGGTCCAGGCTGGGAGGTGAGTGACCCCTTCATAGCCTCCCCGGCCCGTCTGGAGGGAGACAAACCACCTCTTTCACGGAAGGAAGGGGATCCCCCGAGGGCGGAAAGGAAACCACGGCAGCACCTGTGCACGCGAGCCTCCGCATGGGTTCCGCCGCCTGTGTGGTTGGCGGCGGGACCTGACGGACACTAAACACACGCTGTCCCCCACACGCTGAGGGAAGGCGCCCTGGGGTCATCTCGGGCCGCCTGCCGCCGGGCGCACTGCTCTCCCCCGGGACTGGGGCTGCTCCTGGAAACAGCCCCGCGCCCCTGGGCCTGAGATGCGGAGCGCGCCCGGAGGAGGAGACAAGGTCCCCGCCCCTATCGCTCCGGGACAGAGGCGGAGCCCAGCGCGGGCGGGGCGGGCGGGGAGAGGGCGGGGCAG